AAAACTCGATTTCTTGAAGTATTCAAGTATTTAAACTCAGACAAGTAGAAAGTTAATGAAGGCAAAGTAGCATAATGGCAGGGTGTTTAATTAGCTGGGAGTCCAGAAGAGTTTCAGTTAAAATGTATCAGAGCAATATTTCTTTTCTTCTGCTGTGAGTGGGAATGTTGCCATTGACTTCTGTTAGGACAGCATGGTGGCCTTTCTTTACTGTGAAAAAACATGACTTGCTATCTGGTGAAACAGCAAGTAATGGCTAGAGATAAACAAGTCTAATGAAAAGGATGAAAAAAGAAGAAAAATTAACTGAAAGATGTAATAAAGAACGATGGAGATGAGAGAAAGAAGGCAAGCCAGTTACATCCCAGAATTTGAAGGGAGCCTGTTTGAAGTGAAACTATGAGATTAAGTTTGTCTCTAATTTAGGATTTTGAAGAATAAAGTTTTACAAGAGATTAAATGTGTTAATGAGGCTGCTTTTCACTCGGATTAGAATTGTTATAAAGGTTCTCTCCTGAATACGGGCGACTCAAAGATCAGCTTAATGAAAGAGAACCAGAAAATGACAACTAGCTGGAAAAAAGATGAAGCGTGTGCACTTGTGTTTTTATTGTTCAGGAAAAGCATATTTTAAATACAAAATCATAAAAAGTGAATTCATTTGTATTTATTTCTTTTTTTTAAAGTAAGATGAGGTTTTTATGATTAGTCTAGGTAAGAATTTTAACAATTATGACTGTGACATTAGTAACTGAAGTGAGAATGACATTCATTTAAATTAGGAAAAAAGTCCATGATTTTTAAGCTTGCAGATTAGATTTTAATTAATCTAAATTTTTATTTTTTTTTCCTATGATTCACTGGTACCTCTGTTTGTTTACTCAAAAAAATCAACATAATTTTAGAGGGATTCATTAACACAAGGAACATTGCCTAATGATGAACGTTCATCTCACATAAATGTGGATGGAAAAGATCTCAGCACTGTATGTAGCTAGACTGCAATAATCTTTGATGTAAACAAAGAAACAAGCCAAGCTGGATGAACTTTAGGACTGTGGTATGTGTTAGGAGAAAACACTATAGGAATAGTTTCAAGCAGGAATAGCTGTAAGATGCTAAGACTATAGTCTACAAGTAGGAATAGTCTTAGAAGGGTCATCCGAGTTTCTGTCAGTTTGTCTTCTATCCTCCTCATATTTGGAACATACTGTACAACAGACAAAATTTTAAAAAGCATCAAGGTTTTTTTCAGCATATTGTTCAGTACGTGTCAGTGGTTTGTCCAAGACAAGTTGTGCTCTGTGAAATGGTGGCCATGAAAAGCAAATACAGAGCAAATCATCTGTATATACATTACAGTAAGGACATTGCAGAATTGGTGTATTGACTGATGTTGACAATTAATGTGGATTTCTTGTGAATCAGTAGTAAAATTCATGGCTACTTCTGAATACGTCTAGCTTTACCCCTTTTTTTATGGGCTTCCACAGCTTTAACCCACTATGGAAGGAAAGATGATGCATAAGCTAAGCTGAATTGAGAGGGGTCACTTTCATCATGCGTGAGTGACTTAGAGCACTACATTAGGTGACGTTCCATTATTTTATTCCCTTATTTTCTCATTTCCTTGAAAAAAAATGTTACATGCAGCACTATATAAAGCATGGAAATAGCTGGATTCAAGAAGCATGAGAATCCTGATCCTTTTCTGTGCACTTAAAGCCCTCTTGGGTCTTTTCAGCAATGGAGGCACAATTGGATTGTGCCACAGCAGATTCCAGTGAAGGATGGAGTTAAGGTTCCAGTGGAGGATGGAGTTATCACTGAAGAACGGGAGAGAGATTGGAAGAGACTGCAGAGGCAGTTTGGAAAGGGGAAGGCGTTTGTAAACTAGGCCAGCTCTGTTAGCTTTCAGGAAAAGCAGAGGGCATGGGATTAGAGGGTCAATGTATTTTAGGACATGGTTTAATTGCATGAGAAGAATTAAGAGGTGTGGTGATTGGTGTTTACTTCTTCAGAGCAAATGAGAATAGTGAGATTGCTACTGCAATGCAAATCTCTAGGCAAAGGGCGTGAATAAGTCAATGGAAATTACAGTGTTTAAGGGCAGCTAAGCCTGGGAATATCAAAAAAAGCAAAAATGTCAGGCAGAGAGGTATTAGTAACAGAGAAGAGTGGACATGTACATTGGTGCATGTGCATGTACGTTTGTGCAAACCTCCCACACAGCCTAACTTTAGCAACCTTACTCTATATGAATGGAAATTATCATGTTTTTTATAATATTTGAATTTGCTTGACTTTTTGCATGTCAAGCCCAGCATAGAATTGATACCAAAGTGACATGAGTCTTGTGGAGGATTATATTTTATGAAGTTCTCCAATCCTGTTTTGAAACAGGAAAGAAAAAACAAACCTGTAACGGAACCTTTGCACATCTTCCCATTCACATCAGTGCTTATATTTTCTCATGTTTAAGAAGTTTCTGTAAAGAAGCCACCCATCCTTAGACTACAAAGGAGAAGATGAAAAAGCAAATGTAGCCTTCACTTCAGTGTACTTGAACCATACTGGAATTAAGAACTTACTTCTATTTGATTGGAAACTTTGGAAATAAGCAGCAATAAAGCCGAACAGATGGGATTCCATTTTAAAAATGAGTAATCAATAAACAATAATATCGCCCTACTACAGCAAGGAGGGGGTTAATAAATCAGGAAGGTGATTGAAATGGGAAAATATGTTTTGGATTGCTGGGTTTTTTTGGATTTAAAAGGCAGAAGTGAGCCTTCCCCCTCAATACTTCCTAGCTCACTGACTAGTTTAGTGACAGGGTCTGACTCAATTCTTAATAAAATCAGCAATATTTTTTCCATCGAGTGTAATGAGAATGGGGCCACACTGTGGGTGCACAGGAGCTTCTCCTTTCTACCTCTGGACAGGAACTTCTGCTACTAATAATCATCTTTATCGAAATCTCTAGTAAGTGTTAGATGTTCTAAGTAAGTCTGTGAAGAGGGGAATGGGTTCAATACACTAACCGTCTCTCTGCACTTTTTCCTCTTTGAAGCCAGGGAAGTATATTCTGCACCTGCTTTGACATGCTGTCCCGCTCTCATAAAATGTGCATTCTGTTCTCATGGAGAGTGCTTTTGAGGCAGACACCATGGGATTTGCCACAGCAGGATAGCTTTGAAAAAAAGGTTGGATTCCACCCAGGCAAGCCTATAAACTAGCAATTATGGCCTTCTTCTGGGAGAGTGCGAGCAGGCTGAGGAAGGAGCTCATTCCCGGGCAGAATCTCTGATGATTAGTCAGGTGGCTTCCTGACTCTGTAAAAATGAGGAACCTGCTGCAGCTGTGTTTTTGTGAGGGACGCACTCCTGAGCATGTGTGGTAAGACATGCTCGGAGTATACCTTCAGGAGTGGATAGCACTGAACCTTGACACAGAGGGCAGAGTACAACCAGAGCTTCCTCTGTTCTTTACAGCCTGCTGGTGAGGTGGAACAGCCTGCTTTCCTCCTTCTTTCCAGGCTCTGTTGGCTTTTAGACTGTCAATACTGTTGTTCTCCACTTTGAGTGATGGCTCTTTGGGCTCTTCAAAGGTTACATATTGGCCCTGCACTATGAATGATACTCGCACCACATTGACAGGTTTGCTTACCAACAGCCATTGCGGTTTACCTTAAAGACATATCCCTGTTTACAAGCCCAACGTACGTGTGAAAGGGTTTAAACAGTAGAAGTTTGTTACGTCTTCCTTAGACCGTGCTTGCTAGGATTATCAGAAGCTGAAGCAGTCAACTTCAGCCAGAGGCTGGTGCTAATTTCTGTGAATGTATCGAGGCTTGATGCTCTTAACAAGGGATCCTATTCCCATTCCCCTTCCTTCTGAAAGGTAATTTAATTGAGATTCCTTTTTCCCTTGTTAATTGCTAGAGGGAACTGAGAACATTTGAGAGATCACTGAGCAGTAGCGACTGCTGGCTGACATCATCAGAAACAATGATAAACTCAAGGGATGGTTTAGTTTATTATTCATCAAAATAGTATTTACCAAATCTGTATCAGCATGTTCTTTTTAACAAGGAGAAGCCAAGACTTCTCCAAGCACTGTGCTTTAAGCACAGTACTTGGCACAATGTCTTAGAGCTGAATCATTGTCACAGTTCTTGGATGTTCTTTCTGACACCTTCACTTGACTTCAGTTTGACTCTTCCCTCGCTTGGGACCATGAAGACTCCCAGGACCATTTCTGTCTTTCATCATCTTAGCAGAGGAATTAGTAGGAAGTTAGGAAGTAGTACTTCCAGCATAGTCTGGATGCAAGGGTGATATGTCACCACTTGTTCCACTGAGATAGACGCATCCTGTCCACTTGGATGGATGAATATGGAGGTAGAAACCTTCCACCTAAGACTTCATTCCAGGACATAGTATTGGGATTTCAAAAAATTATTACTGAGTGATGAATCCTTTCCTCATTAGTGGAACTGGGTAATGACCCCCATATACACAAGTTGCCTGGGCTTCTGTGAAGCTTCTCAGGCAAAAGAGTGACATCATTAGGTGATCATGCCTATACATCACGACATATAACTTGTGGTGGAATACTGCTTTCCTTGGTAAAGCTTATCTGTTCTTTTGCAAGAAGGACTTTCAGTGCTAGCTGAAAAAACTCCAGGAAATGTACTTCTTTGGGCAAATGGATCAGGTTTCCAGAGGACAAATCTCACACCATTATGTGTTCTGGCTTTGCTAGTTGTGAAATAAATAGATTTTGTCCTGTTCTGTCCTCTTCATGCACATTTCTTTTTTTTTTGTCTTTTTCCTCTAGTGAAGGAGGCTTCTGTATTTTCCCGTTTTATGGGATTAACACGTTTTACGTGGATGGTCACAGTGTAGCTAATAGAGGGGTCTGTGGCTGGTTCATAAAGAACATTCTAGAGG